GAAGAGAAGCGAGGGCAGCTGGGCCTCTCTGTCCAGTAGCTGATCCAGAGCCTGCTGGCTTGTTTCCCTGCTCTCTGCTGCAAGAGCAGGCTGCTTTGCGGCCAGGTGTCCTCCGGCCAGGTGTCCTCCGGCCAGTTGCCAGCAGTGCAAACACGGCTGTGCCAGCGTGGTTCTGCATCACTAGCAGAGTCTGAGAGTGCTTCCGGTCACCAGATGGAAGGGGGTCGGGGACCGGGGAGAGGGGCTGGCCTAGGTAAGGGATGCAATAAATAGAAAGCATAAGTGGGGTTGGGACTCTGGGCAGGAGAAGTAGTTCATGGCCTTCTGAGCTTCTGGAAAGCAGGTCTCTTCTCGGCACCCCTTCTTGCAGCATCGACACCTCCACGCAGAGCAGCCGCTCAGGGCATCAGATCTTCACCAAAGTAGGAGAAGCCTTTGAATTCCTCCTGGTTGATCTGCTTCACAATGGCCTCGTCCACCAGCGTGAGGACCGGCTCTTCCCGGGTAAAGTCTTGGTCGAAGTTATTGACGTCTCTCTTGGTTTTCTGTGGGGAGAAAAGAGAAAGCACTCACTCGAGGCTGACCGCCTCCTCCAGGGTCCCCCAGGGCATGTACGGGGCTGATCAAACCTCATGCCACAGCAGGTCCCTTAGCTAGTGGGGCAGACGGGGCTGTTCCACGGAGCTCACGATGGGTGGATGGCCCCCAGGATCAGGAGGTGATGGAGCGGAAGGATGAGTCAAGGTGAGCGGGTGATGGAAAAGCAGGGAAGTGGACTGCCAACAGACAGCATGTAGGAGCAAGGGCACTGTGTGCATGTTTGGGTGAGAGTGGAACGCAAAGCTCCCCTTTCACACCTCCCCTTCCTGCACCTGCACCTGCCAGAACCCTCTGGCTTCATGGAGGCTTCCCGGCCGGAGGCCCAGGGAGCAAACTTGAGCCCCCTTTCCATGAGGTCTCCTTCCCTGGAGGTGAATCAGTTGCCTTGAAGTTGGTTCTGACTCTTGACCACCCTGTATGTGCCAGAGGCTTTTCAATGGGTGGTTTGGGGGAAGTAGACCAGGAGGCCCTTCTTCGGAGCTGTTCTTGGTGGACTGCTGTCTCTAAGTTAGTAGCCCAAGTACATTCCCCATTGGTGCCACTCAAAAATCCTTTCCTGGTGGGCCGACCCCTTACACCTGCCTGCTGCATGTGCTCCACAAGACATCCTGGCTCTACATAGGAAGGACGGTGAGGGGGGTGCAGACCACCTTCCTTGATCCTCACGCGGTGTCATCAGGAACCCCATCCTTGCTTCACACATAGACACACTGACCTGTAATTGTGTACCTGTGCTTTGTTCCCTCTAGAACAGTGGTTCTCAACCTTCCTAATGCTGAGACCCTTTCATACAGTTCCTCATGTGGTGGTGACCCCCCAACCAAAAAATTATTTTCGTTGCTACTTCATCACTGTCATTTTGCTACTGTGATGAATCAAGTGACCCCTGTGAAAGGGTCATTGGACCCCCCAAAGGGGTCGCGACCCACAGGTTGAGAACCGCTGGTCTAGAACAAGAGGTCCTTACAGGCAGGGCCCCTGCCATTCAAATAGTATCTTGGAATGCATGCAACCTGGCACAAACGGGTACTGACGATCTGGTCCCGTGGAAATTCAAGTTCCCCAAGCATGGCTTTTGGGTCCTTAGGGGCTAAGGATGGGGGACAGCAATTCATCGATCCACACCCAAATCCTGGGGTTTGGCAGAAGTTGAGAAGTGTCAACAATGCCATCTTCCTTTAGGAGTGTAAAGTGCAGTTGGGGAGTGAGGAGTCGCATATAGAACACATGGCGCTCTTTAAGCAAACTTCCAAGGAGAAGCCAGGCCGCGGTTGGGGCTTGAAGAATGGGCTACAGGGGCTCTGGCAGAGACTGTGGAGGGAAGCATGTTCGCAGGGAGAGAGCTGAGGCAGGAGGGCAGCGACACAGAGGTTGTGCACATAGGAGGACTGTGCCCAGCTACCTGGGGCAGAGGGCGGAGTGGGTTGGGGGGAGGTAGGTGTGGACTGCAGAGATCACCAACGCCTGGTCCCCTCAGCCCCCAACCCCCCATCCAATATACAATGTGAAGAAGATGGGAGAACCTTTTCTACTCATTAGTATTACTTAGGATGATTCGAGGTGGAATAGTTTGTGAGTCTTGAAAAGATTAGCACTGTGATTTGTAGAGGGGGTTTTATGAACACATCCAAGGGCCGAGGAAACCAGTAACCTAAAAGATGTTCCTCAATAGTCCACAACCAAAACTGGTTCTTAGGCAAAAGCTACAGTTTGCATCCTGCTCTTGGCGCTACGCCGCGTCCCCTGGCAAAGGGGAAGCTGGAAGTCCCCCAGTAAGGCACTTGGGTCCTCTTGCCTTGCTCAGTCTTTTCCAAACATGGCCTCAGACAGCGCCTTTCTTCCTCCAACCCCCCGTCAACATCTCTCCCAAGGGCAGAGTTCTCTGCAGGGCACAGTTTGCGAAGGGCTGCTTCACAGTGTCCAAAATGCCTCAGACTCCCTCGTGTGCCTCCTTGGACTGGACGGGAATGATCCTGATCTCACAGATGAGAAACCGGGGCTCAGAATGTTCTGGTGAAAGGAACAACAACAACAGCAAGGTCTGGTGACCCAAGTAGCGAACAGGGAAGCCGGAACCCCGATACTGGTCTGATGGCGCTGACACGGACTGACTGGCAAGACAGACGCCGGGGAACTGAGAGGGAGAGCCTAGCTGAACCGGGAGGCGTTGAGATGAGATGCGGGGCTAGCAACGAAGCTGGAGAGGCTTGCTCCTAGGCACACGTGGAAGGAGGGCTGCAGGGCAGGGGCAGGGCAGACTCGGAGGTAGGTCTCAGGAGAACCAGAGGGGCACCCCGGAGCAGGAATGAGCTCTCGTTTCCAATCCTTCAGCGCCAGCTCCCTGGCTTAGGCCCTTCTAGCTGGGTAGCAGGCTTCTTGGAGCGGAGGCAGCAGAGGCAAGCTACCGAAAACCCAGAGGCTGGCAATCAGGACCTGCACTGAGAAGATGGCCTGTGCTGCCCCTAAGAATGGGAGAGCCACGGCGCGGGTCAGTCGTGTCCGCCAGGGAGGCCTGGCTCAGGGCGAGATGGCCATCTTCTTCTTTCGAGTGTACAGCAAGCCAGAGGAAATAAAAGGAGGTGGCCCTGCACCGAGAGCATGTTAAGCAGCCTGGGAAAGGGTGAGCCCTCTTCTGCAGGGCTTCCCTGAAGGAGGGAGGGTGGAGGGGTGCTCCACCAGGACGCCTGGCCCTGGGCCAAACCAAGGCCATAGAGGACGGAGTTGGGGCCCTGACATGCGAAGTCTTGGGCGTCATTCCAGCAAGCAACGGATGGTCCTCCTCACTGGCGGCCAGAGGGGAAGAGGAATAGGAAGAAAGAGGGGTGAGAGGTGGAGTGGCAAGGTGCAGGGCCGGGGAAACCCACTTTGTAGCATTCCCTGGGAAGCGCCATCCCAGGTGTCCTGCATCCTCAGGGTCAGAGATGGGAGTCTACCTCTTTCCTGTTCCCTTTAAATTGGCCCTGGGTTGGGGGGAGTGTGTGGGGGGGGCATATAAAGGGTACAGGCAAATCTGCAATTCCCTGGCACTAGCTCTCCCAGTTGACCCCATCGGTCGGTAGCTCTTCATCCATCCATCTATCCCTCGTGAGGGTCCATCAATCACAGAATCCGAGGGTCGGGGGAAGATGTGGGGAGAAAAGGGGAACCGATCCCAATGATGGACATATACCTGTCCCGCAACCAGGGGGACACACAACAGAAATGTGGGTGAAGGGAGACAGTGGATGGTGTAACATAAAAATAATAATAATTTATCAAGGGTTCAGGAGGGTTCAGGAGGGTGGGGGGAAAGAGGAGCTGCTACCAAGGGCTCAAGCAGAAAGAAAATGTTTTGAAAATGATGATGGCAACATATGTACAAATATGCTTGATACAATGGATTGTTACAAGGGCTGTAAGAGCCCCTTAATAAAATGACTTATCAAAAACAAAACTGGCTTGAGTGAAATTTTCTTGGGATGCCCCCCTCACCCCTCCTTTCTCTATCTCTGAACTTTCCAGGTTGCATGACCACTCTGCATGTCCTGAGCTCCTGGAGGGTGGGGGCTGGGCTGAAGCCACCCTTTCACCCCCAGCCTCGCACAGTGCTGGCGCTTAGCGAGCGCTCAGTGCGGAAGGGTCGATCCAACAGCGAATGAGTGTGTCTCTCTTGCTGCTACTTTTTCCAGAGGCGGCAAAGTGATGTGTGGTCAGTGGCAGGGGCAGCTTTCCGACCAGAGGGGAGGGGGGCTGAAGGTTTACTTGTGGAGGAAACAGAGGGGAACAGCTCAGACCGTCAGCAAGCTCTGCAGGCTAAGACCCTTAGGCTTAGGTGTAGCTGGTCCCTGGGTGCCATTAGCAGTTTGCAATTGGTTGCCGGTGGAAAGGTTAGTGGCTGGAGACCCCTGGGACGAAGATCAGACAGTCTACTTCTGTCCACGTTCACAGTGCTGGGAACCCCTGGGGCAGGTCGCTCTGTCTTACAGTGTTGTGATGAGTCAGAATTGACTCCCCCTCCACGGGAGCCCTGGTGGCTGGCGTAGTCATAGAGGGCTATGCATTGGCTTGCTAGCCGCAGTTCAAAACCACTTGTTGTTCCTTGGGACAAAGGCGAGGCTTTTTGCTCCCATGACGGTTTTTTGTTTTGTTTTAGGGTTGGAACAAAAGGTTACCTTTCTTGTTTATAGTTTCTATCCTCAGGATTT